ATATAGTTTATGTCTTCCATATTTCCAACCATATCCATAATCACATACTGTGTATGCTACCATTGTATATAGTGTATTATCTTACTTTTTTTCATTGATTGTACTTAATTGTATTTTTGTATTTCCTTCATATATCTGTACCTGAGCTGAGGTGACGCAAAAAATTTCCCCGTTGTGGGATCAATAAAGTCTTATCTTATTCCTTCCACCGCCCGACAATTTTCTCAGTCGATGTCAACAGCACTTCGCCAGCACTATACACAGTGCAGATAGAGCACCGCTTTCTCCTCCTGAGATGCCTGACTGTTTGCCAGAATCTCTTTGAGGCAGTCTGAAAGTCTTTTTCCATGGCCTCTCCTCCCACACCCGAGTTTTTGCTTCAGCCACTGCCCGAGCCACATTCCGCTTAGCCTGTCGATACCTGTCGACTGCCTCTAGAGTCCCACAGACTAACCAAGCCCGATAGGACTCCTTCTTCAGCCTGGTGGCTCCCTTCACCTTTGGTGTCCACCATTTGGTTTGGGGATTACCACCACGGCAAGCACCAACCACCTTGCGGCCACAGCTCAATGCAGTAGCTTCGGCAATGGAGACGGTGAACATGGTCCATTCGGACTCAATGTTCACAGTCTCCCTTGGAATGCTGTTGAAGATCTCGCGGACTGGGGCCTCTGCTAGACGTTCCCAGCACACCCTCACTACGTGGTGCACCGGGTCTGTCCAGCATCCTCCGCCGCCACCTGATCCAACTCACCACCAGGTGGTCAGTTGACAGCTGAGCCCCTCTCTTTACCCGAGGGTCCAGAACATATGGTCGCAGGTCTGGTGATACGATTACAAAATCGATCATCGACCTGCGGCCTAGAGCGTCCTGGTGCCACATGCACTTATGGACACTCTTATGTTCCAACAAGGTGTTTGTTATGGCCAAACTGTGATTTGCACGGAAGTCCAATAACAAAACGCTGCTCGGGTTCAGATCAGGTAGGCCCAATCACGGTCCCAATCACGGTTTGGCAGCCGGGGATCAGTCCACCAGGGCCTCCGCTCCTGGCCGCCGCCCGTCACACAATGCACCCGACCCCTATGGCACCTCCTGCGGGTGGTGGGCCTGCGGGAGGATGGGCTCATGTCTCCTCTTCGGGCTGTGCCCGGCCGGGCCCCATGGACTAAGGCCCGGCCACCAGACACTCGCCCTGGGACACCCTCCCCGGGCCTGGCTCCAGGACTGGGCCCCAGTAACCCTATCCCGGGCAGGGTAAACTGTTTCCTCGACGTTCTCTTGATAAGGGTCTTCTTAATCGCTCTTTGTCTGGTACCTCACCCAGGACCAATTTGCCATGAGAGACCCTACCAGGGGGCAAAAGCCCCCCGACAACATAGCCCCTGGGATCCCTGGGACACACAAACCCCTCCACCACGGTAAGATAGCGATTCACAGAGAGGGAAACTGATAATTTAAATTAAGAATTCCCTATCAAGATACTGTTTATGCAATAATATAAAACATGTTTGAAATGATCATCAGTAGAAAAAATTTCAATTCTGACCTGAGAGTTTCCATATTACAATGTTGACTCTTCAATCCAACAGACAGGAGCTTCACGCCTGAATCCTGCAGGTCAGAGTTACTCAGGTCCAGCTCTCTCAGAATAGAGGACTGTGAACTGAGGACTGAGAACAGATCTTCGCAGCCTCTCTCTGAGAACTGACAATGACTTAGTCTGAAAAATGAAATATAAACATTAAACGAACACTGTTGAAGTGGAATGAGAGTGCACGGAAGAGTTAAGGTTTAGCAATATGTAACCCTGTTTTTTTTGTTTTTTTTTCAGGAATCCTTCATGCCTTACTAACATAAAATAGATGGATGCCACTGACATTTATTGGCTATATTACACTAGTCAAAAGAAGAAAAAAACCCACAGTAAAAACAAAACACCAAGATGATACTTAGGACAGCGGTGAATCAATTCTGGTTTTCTAAGGCAAATGCCAATTGGGCTTCATGTGCCGGGCAGTGAGGGCAGTGCATTAACACCGAAGTAGCTGACATTGATCAATACTTAAATGATCATAAAACTATTGCAGAAGTTTAACTGATGTTATATTTTAATTAAAACGTGTTCCTTTATTTTTATTCTTTTTTAATAGTGTATTCATATTGCTTAATTCTGCCAATTGATGAAAAGCACAGTATCACTTGATTTCACCTCAGCATATTCAGTTTACAGTGTGGACTCCTCAGTCCTGCTGAAAGAAGCTTCACTGCTGAATCCCGCAGAGTGTTGTTACTCAGGTCCAGCTCTCTCAGACTAGAGGACTGGCAGTTCAGAACTGAAGACAGGGCTTCATAGCTCGTCTCTGACAAGTTACAGAGACTCAGTCTGGGGGAAAAGAACATTTTTAAAAATCTGTTGTCTTCTCATGTTAAAAGGTTAGAAATATAGAAGATTACCATAACTTCAAAAAAAAATTATTTCTTTCTCTCCCTCTCTCAAAATGTATTTCATAAAACACAACAATAAAAGTTGACCTTGATTTGCTTAGAACTTTAACTGATTTCTTATGTCAATTCATAAAGAATGAAAGAATGCAGAATATTAGATGAGCTGACCTGAGTGTTTTCAGTGTACACTCTGGACTCTTCACTGAAGCAGACAGAAGATTCAGTGCTGAATCCTGCAGAGTGTTGATACTCATGTTCAGCTCTCTCAGACTAGAGGACCGGGAGCTGAGAACTGAGGACAGAGCTTCATAGCCTCTCTCTGAGAGTTTAGGGACACACAGACTAAAAAGAACAAAAACAATTTGAAAAATTATCATTTAATCACAAACGGTTTGCGATTCATTCAAATCACTTCATATCCTGAACCTTTACAAGAAAGACAAATGTCAGTGTGCATTACTATTTATGGTTGACTTAAAAACGTTATATTTACATAGGGACAAAATATCAAAGACCTGGAACTTGCTCATTAAATCCAATGATCCTGTTGAGTGAGGGCTAATTAGACTCTAAGACTGCAAAAGTCCTTTGATCTCACTTAGGTTAATAAATGATTTAGAGATTCTGAGAGACTGAAACAGTAAAGTTTTTATAGAAATAATTTCTGCAAAAGCAGATACAGTAGTTAGAAAACACATCAGAGTTCTCCACAAAGCAGTGTGTAACAAGCGACTGAACATGCACGGGATTTCAGTGTCACTTAATCTATTTATTTGGCTTTGTTCACTAAATTCTTCACTGTAAGCTACAGGTGTCTCCAGGAGCAGCTCCATTCTGTGCTACTCCACTAACATTACAAACTCCTCTCTCGCATGTCCCCACAGTCTCTACATATTTAGAGAAGAGAGAGCCATTAGTTCCCGCACACACCAGTTTCTCCCATCACTGTGATGCTGCCCTTAGAACTCACTATACTGGCCCTCCACAGGCAGACCAGTTATCACAACACCACCACATACTCCCACAGCCCGACTGAGGCCTGGGCCACATCCGACCGAGCCTACTCCACCTGAGGACACACCTGCCTGCCCTCCCCCCAAGTGGTACCCTAAATATTGTACCTTCATCCAACTGCACACACTTCTTCAGGTTTGCTGTGAGCCTCAAAGACTACAGGACGCGACCACTTGCTGCACATGGTCCACCCAGGTATCACTGTGGATGATAACATCATCCAAGTAGGCAGCAGCATACACAGCATGCAGCTGCAGTATCCGGTCCATGTGGCACTGGAAGTTGGCAGGGGCTCCAAACAGAGGTGTGGACTCGAGTCACATGACTTGGACTCGAGTCATTAATTTTATAACTTTAGACTTGACTTGAAAAAATGTTCTAAGACTTGTGACTTGACTTGGACTTTTACACCAATGACCTGGGACTTGAATTGGACTTGAACCGGTTTACTTGAAAAAAATTGATATTTCACCCCAAATATAAAATTTAACATACATATTATATAGAAAACGTGCACCATTAATTCAATTCATTGATTCGTTTATTCAAACCACACTCCGTACTATGTGTGCGTGAGCTGTAGCACAGCCAATCAAATTAACCAGATTAAAAAAACAACAACAAACGCTCAAAAATGCTGCAAGGAGTTATTTTTTTCAGGTACATAAACTATGCAGTAGTCAACAAAAAACCAAAATGCAATATGCAAAACATGCAAGAAGAGAATCACAGACAGAGATGGAACAGCTTCCAACTTTCTACCCTACAAGAATCCAAGAATAACATGCAGTTTATCTCAGAACTGTCGGTGAAAATTATTCTTGGAGCTAGGTTTAATTGAGCTGCATTTTAAAGAGGTGCAATTTCACAATTTGTGTATATTTTCTAAGTTCACTATTT